TGCTCCCGGCCCCTGGCCCAGGGAGCACAGCCCCGCCCCGCCTCCAGGCCACTGGGGTTCCTATGGAGACATGGCCTTGGGCTGTTTCCATATTTCTTCCTGAGGAGGCGGTGCAGAGAGCTCTTCTCTTGCTTTTTCCATCTGTCTCTGACCCCTTCCTCTCTCTCTCAAAAACAGCTCCTGAAAGTTTCTTCTAGAGCAGTGGTTCTCAACCTTCCTAATGCCGTGACCCTTTAATACAGTTCCTCATGTTGTGACCCCCAACCATAAAATTATTTTCATTGCTACTTCATAACTGCAGTGTTGCTACTGTTATGAATCGTAATGTAAATGTCTGATATGCAGGATGGTCTTAGGCGACCCCTGTGAAAGGGTCATTCGACCCCCAAAGGGGTCGCGACCCACAGGTTGAGAACCGCTGTTCTAGAGGTTTACTCCCCGTGAGCAGTTCCCGAGTGAAAACGATCCGCGTGGACAGGCTCAGGGCAAACGCTTCCTCCTGAGCCGTACCACCCAGTCCTTTGTCAAAAGCCGTAACGCAAGGAGGGGCGAGCTGGGGGCCCCATCAGCCCTGAGTGTAAATTCAGCTCTTTTTTAGGGCAATGAGACCCTGACACATTTTTTCAGCCCCTGGGGCCCTCGGCTTGTCTGTCTGCAAGTGGAAGTAATGGTCTCGTTTTCTGGGGTCCGTGAGCGAGCTAAACTGAGAGGCAGCGCTGTGGGGGTGCTCGCTTCCCCGACAGGGGTTTCCAAGTCCAGGCTGCATGAGGTTCAGTAACTTCCTGGTTCCTGGTTCACAAATTAACGTTATCTGATCTAACCTGTGAATAAGAGGGGGTTAGAAGGTAACTCCTTATCTGGCAGCTTAGCTGAAATCTTCAAATGTGCCCTAGGATTATCCTGTGACAGCCCCTAGGGTTGGTGGTGGTCAATCTGAGCGTCCCTGAGTGGCTGTGCCGAGGCAAAGCCGCCCTTGTGGTCCTCAGACACTGGCTTCTGCCGGCTGGATTACCCCCCAGGCCACTTGTCTTCTGTCATCCCTGCCCCAGGACTGGTACACAGCCCCTCTCATGCCCTGACCACGCCGTTCCCGGGGACCCCTTTCATTTCTCCCTCTCCATCCTGCTTCCCAGGCACCGGCCTATCCCACCTGCACTGCAGAAGGTAGACTTGATCTGCTCAGCGCCCCCAGACCTGGTATCCAGGGTCTGAGCTGCCCCTCTGAGCAGGTGAGCAGGTGACACACCTGAATGGAACATGCCCCCCTGCTCGCTCCTCCTTTTCCGGTTCAGGGATTTGATTGGCAGCAAGTGTCCCAGCTCTAAAGCTGAAGACTGCCACGGGGAGAGACCTCTGTCCTATCTCACCCTAGTCAGGGGCATCCTTGTCCCAAGGCCTATCTTCAGGGTCAAAAGGGCAGGAGAGTTTTAGCTACTCCCTCTGTTGCTGGTTTAAAAGAGAAACAGTAATGAAGAGCCATGCATACACTAGATGACCCAGAGAGCTTTGCGAAGGATATGCCTCAGGGTTTGCTCTCTGCTCGGAGGAGAGTGAACACAGCAGAAATCCTGCCTGGAAACAGGATCAGCCAGACAAGCAGGGCTGCCACTTGCACTCCGACACCTGGGATCAAACCCAGCCTCCACGGCGCACCTGCTGCGTGGGTCTGGACAGGCACCCAGCTGTTCTACACGCCGTGTCCCCACCTGTCAGGAGGGGGTATTCTCATAGGATGCTGTGGGGGTCCAATGCGACGCTGACTTACAAATGCTGAGCACGGGGCCTAGAGCCTAGTAAACAACAAATGCTACTAATGCCAGCATTAAAAAGTTAATGACAACGTGGCATCCACTGGGTTATGATTTAAAATACATACATATTCTGGCATATCCTCAGGTGAGGGCTCTTGGGGACCACCCCCCCCCCATGATAAGTGAATCCCCAAAGCGGCAGCGATGGATGAGGCAGGAGGAGCGGACTGTCAGAGCACCTCGCTTTGACTTCTGTGCACCCGCCAGGTCAGAGGATAAACCGTCCTGGAGCAGCTCGCACAGCCCTGCTTTCCAGACCTTTCCCGAAAAACCCATTCCAACACTCATGTCGTTCATCTACCTCGCTGGTGCTCAATAAAGGGAAAGAATTCCTTAAGTATCCAATATGGTTCGAGGAATGGGCTGGGAAAAAATACAAATCAGCCTCTCCCTGGCTTCCCCTTTGCTCACTTAGCAACTGCTTCAACGTCAGGATTTAGCAAATCAATCCGTTCATTTGTCTCTAAATTAGTAAAATAAATGAATGCGAATTCACTCCACTTATTTCCCCAAAAGATGCGCATACAGAAAAGAGAGACCCCTGGGACAGCTGACAAAGGCAGGGCGGGCCAGTCTATTTGCTGTTAAAATGCAGCCCGTACAGGGGGTGTTTGAAGTCCCCAACTGCTCTAAAGAAGCTGCACTTCAAACGTTTCCAGGCCTGGGTCATGGAGAAAAGGCCCCTTTCACCATCATGTCCTCTGTTTATGTTCCTTCTCCCCTGAGAGCTTCCTTTTCACTCCTCTGAAACGTTTAGCAATGCGTTCTACAGCTCGGGCTGAGAAAACACTTCTTAAAGACAATTCAGATGTGTTTGTCTTTGGATGGTCCCTGTGGCTGGTGAACATCTACCCTGGGATCCCGGAGGCATCCCCCAGCCCCTCCCCAGGCCTGCCAAGGTGCACAGGCAGAGGGGAGATTCCGGCCTCCTGGGAGCCAAAGGAAACCCGGGCCACGTTCCCCTGCCAATCACCTCGCTCCTTGTTTGTCCTGCAAAGGCTGGTGGTGACAGCCAGGCTGATGTTGCAGAAGGAGAGCTAAACCCTGTGGCACGGGAGAATGGGCAGGAGGCCTGCCGGGCAGCGGTGCTGCGAAGCGCCAATGCAGGGGGAGGTGGTATGTGTGCACTTCCGGTCTGAGCATGGCATGTTTTACACGTCTGAGGTCTGCGACTGCTTCTCTATGTCACGTAACAGTCAGGGTTTGTAATGGTGGACCATGGTGTGTTGGAGGCCTCTTGCACTGGCTGTTGAGAGCTGAGTGCATCTCTCCCAGCTCTCCATTTAGCGACATAATGTCCATGGCTTGAAATCAGTCGTGTGGGTGGGAGGGAGGTATTTGTACCACGGAAATGGGCAAACGCTACAAAGCAGGGCGGTTTTTTTCTTTCTTGGAGAGCCAGCCATTAAACATTTACCAGCATGTCACTGACTTCATCATACTCATTTTATTATCATTTGCTTAACCAAGCTGTTTGCTAGCCCGCATCTAACTTGTTTCTAAATGCTTACATTGTAAGAGGTGCATTTTGCTGAATGCGGAGGTTTGGCGTGTGGCTGAGATGGTTCCCTTAGGAAACACTCCCAGGAGTGGGATGAGACTAGATGAGAAGCTGTGAGCATTTGAGGGGCTCCTGGTGCAGGGACCAGAACAGCTGTTCTGACTACACTCCCTCAGCCAGGCCCGGGGACAGGCTCCCCGCACATACCTGCGGGCACTTGGCGGCGCTGTAGCAGTCCCCAGCAGTGGCAAAGGGCACGGGATGCCCTTCGCTGGTCCTCGCAAACTGTAAGTCAGTGGCTGTGGAGTTTGGAGAAGGGTTAAAGGCGGAAGAGAGGTGACAGCGGGAGAAAGAGGCAGGGAAGGGACCGGATGTTAACAAGGAGAGAGAAGGGAATGAGAACAGTAAAAGAAATAATAAGAGGGAGTGGGAGAGGAAAAAAAAACACAGTACGATTAGTGAGCAAATGCATCCAGATGCGCTCTGGCTTGTTCCTCCTTGGGGTTCTGAGAGCCTCTCCCTGGGGTTTATCAGCCCTGACTGTCTCCTCACAGCGCGGAAGCCCCCCAAGGGGGTCGAGATGACTGTATGTCATGTGTGAACTGCCTCGCTTAAACAGAGCGATGGGGATGGTGAACCTGCTGTTCACCCGCAGAGGCCTCGGGACCAGGGAAGGAAGTCAGCAAGGCGTTCCCAGCGAGTCATTCCTCGAGGCTCCCTCTGTCCTCCCGTGGCCCAGGCACTGTGTTATTGCCAAAATGTGGAGCAATGAGAACCCACATCTTGAAAGTATTAATGGCAGTTTCTCAAGTTTGGGGCTAACTTGTAGTTTTTTTTTTTAAAAAAAGCCCATAAAACCATGGGCTCATGTTTTTAACTATCTTGTAGCTCTTGTGACCTGTGAGGAGTCAGGGATCCTGCAAAAGCTGCCGCTGGGGGAACTGGAGGTCAGGGCGGCTCGTTACCTTTCTGCCGTGTCTTTCTGGAATCTTCCTGCAGCTTACCACACTGTGGTGGGAGGGACATCTGAGTGACCCCTCACCCCGGTCCTGCAGGAAAGGGCCCTGGCAGGAGCCCTGAGCCTTAGCTTGGGGGGGGGGGTCCTGAGTGAGAAACTGCAGACCCTGCCGTTAGCCCTAATGGTCCAGCTAAAAGCAATTAGGAATATCTTGGTACCAATCAAGTGCAATCCACCTCAAGAGGGAAGAAGTGCAACATTATGGGTACCTTGTTAATGAGGAAAAATTAATTATTCATCGCTTGTTTTTCCTCTATTCAGGGGACCGTGTTTGGCTGTTTGAGTTGCATTAACCACTCCCATGATTAATGTCCCGAACAAAAATGCAGTGTTGGCCAGAGTATAAAATCAGCCCACGCGCAGGCCGGTTTTGAAAGGTAATTGTGTGGCTCCATTTATCTTGTGTGAATCAACAATCAGAAGAAGTTAGCTTTATGCCTGTGTGTGCGTACGCTGTGTGTGGGAGCCATGGCCACCGGGTCCCCAGGGCCTGCTCACCCCCGCTTGACCTCAAGGCCTCCATTCTGATGTCACTTTTGGGGGTGCTGCTCTGACTCCGCCACTGCAAGGGACCCCTTTAACATGCCTCCATCCCCTCCATCCATTCATCATCACAGGTCTGAGGGCCCCGCTGTGCCAGGCACCTTCCCAGCGGGGACAGAGGGGAGCACCCACCCTCAGGGGCTAGGACAGTGGATCTTGTCCCTTTTGGCATCCTGGGCACCTGGCCCAGCCGCCTGGCTGCCCGAGTGGGGGACAGATGAGCACTCCCACACGACACCCCGAGCTCACTTATGATCTGCATGCTGGCCAGGTCTATCCTGATCTTCTGGAAGCTGGAGAAGCCGGCCGCCGTGTAGTCCTTCCGACACTGGCAGTCGTCGCGCCGGCTCCCGTTGTAGGGGCATTCGGTCGGGTTGTGCAGCCTGCAGGCCAGAGAGAAAGTTCTGGTGAGTGCGGGGGGCATCCAGGAGCCTGCAGGGCTGGGCTTCCGGAGCCAAGCTCGCCTACCTGTGCCCGTACACCTCGGAGAAGTTCTCCGTGTCCCCGCGCACCAGGGTCAGGTACTCCTTGGGGTGGTCGCGGGGGGCGTCCAGGAGCCTGCAGGGCTGGGCTCCCGAGCCGAGCTCGCCTACCTGTGCCCATACACCTCGGAGAAGTTCTCCGCGTCCCCGCGCACCAGGGTCAGGTACTCCTTGGGGTGGTCGGACTGCATCCCTGCACAGAAGATCTGAAAGGCAGACAGAAACCCCCGGGGGCGGCTCAGGAACGGGGCGCCAGGGGCCGGCCGCTCGCTCCCGATGTGTTAGGAAGAGGACTGCCGCCTCACCTTCAGGAGCTTTCCCTGGACGGTCAGGAAATACTCGCCGTCTTCCGTGGCGCCGCTCAGATGCTGCACCTCCCTGCAGCTCTGGGGTAACTCGCCTGGAAAACATGAGGCGCCAAATGGCCTGAGACACCCCTGGTGGGCAGGTCTCCTCAGGCTCTTCCGCCAAGGGGACAGTTTCTTTAAAATAAATCGCATTTATCTGAAGGGGCAGGCAAGCAAGTGAACAGGAAATCCTGTTCTCCAGCCCTAGCCGGTTTGGCTCAGTGGATAGAGCATCGGCCTGCAGGCTGAAGGGTCCCAGGTTTGATTCCGGTCAAGGACACATGCCCAGGTTGTGGGCTCGATCCCCAGTAGGGGGCGTGCAGGAGGCAGCCGATCAATGATCATTGATGTTTCCATTTCTCTCTCCCTCTCCTTCCTCTCTGATATCAATAAAAATATATTTAAAACAAAACACAAAAAACCCTGTTTTTCAGGCTCCAGAGAGGCGGCTTCTCTTGCCGACTTACAGTTGTAGATATTATGGCAGGTTTTTCTCTCTTCTGGCTTCAGCTCCGCAGGGCAGAGGTGGCTGGGCTGGTCCTCGTTGGTCAAGCACTGCACGGAGCGGTGCCGCACCCCGAGGCCACAGGACACGGAGCACTGCAAGGAGAGCAGGGTCAGCGGCGGGTCAGCACCATGCACAGGCGTCACTGCAGCTGAAACACACAGCAAACACACAGCTGACATATTGAGCACTTACTATGGACTCGTCCCTGCGCTTTTACTTCTACACATTTATGCATGCCTACTACCGACACAGTTCCATATGCATGTGTGCATATGATCCTATATAATAAAAGGCTAATATGCAAATTGACCAAATGGTGGAATGACTGGTTGCTATGACACCCACTGACCACTAGGGGGCAGACACTCAATGCAGGAGCTGCCCTCTGGTGGTCAGTGTGCTCCTCCCACTGGTGCCGCTCAGCCAGAAGCCGGGCTCATGGCTGGCGAGGGCTCCCGGACTGTGAAAGGGTGTAGGCCAGGCTGAGGGACCCCCCCTGAGTGCACGAATTTTGTGCACCAGGCCTCTAGTGTAGATATAATTTTACATTCTCACTTAAGTCTTACAGTGACCCTCAGGTAGTAATTCCATTACTCTGTCTGTACAGAGCAGAGATTAGGGCTCTCATGTTAAATTTGTTCCAGGTCCTGGGGGAGCCAGGATTCATATGCTAACCACTTTCAGCGACTCCTAGACTTTTGCCCAATCACGGCGACCCTGAGCAATCAGGATATGTCAGCCCAGGGGAGTTACCCCAGAACTGCAGGGAGCTGGGGGCTGCGGTGATTTCCCAGGGCAGCTCCAGTGTAAAATATTCTCCCTTGGCCCAGCCAGTGTGGCTCAGTGGTTGAGTATCAACCTATGAACCAGGATCTCACAGTTCCAACCAGTCAGGGCACATGCCCGGGCTGCAGGCTCGATCCCCAGTGGGGGGCGTGGCCAATCAATGATTCTCTCTCATCACTGATGTTTCTCTCTCCCTCTCTGAAGTCAATAAAAATATATTTTAAAAAATAAAATAAAAATTCTCCCTTATACTCCTTACACGACAGGACTAGTTCCGGATGCAGGACTAGACCACAAGACTGCTCAGCCACAAAGCGACGTGATGAAGTTCTAGGTGCTTTTTAATTTTCAATTGTGGAAACTGCATGCAACTTAAAATGTGTCACTCTGACATAAGTGCTTTTTTGGTATTAACCCTTTCTTCTTCACAACCACCCATGTCGCAGGTGAGGCAACTGAGACCGGGAAGTTCTGCCCTTGCCCAAGGTCATTCGACTGGGAAGTGGCCTAAGCGCCCGGCAAGCCCACTGCAAGGTGCTCACGGCTGCTTCTCACCAGGTCTCTCCTAGAAGGAGAATGACAGGGCAGGGCAGGCAGGCCGTGTGACCGTGGGGTTTCTTATCCCACACGGACTGGATAACGCAACCATCTACTTACGCTGCCCCAGTTGCCCACTCTCCAGGTGGCGGAGACCGGGCACTCCCTCAGGTAGCAGGGGTGGACGCTGGGGGGCTGCGTGCCCGGGCAGTTGGCGGCAGTTTGGTGGCCGTACTCATAGTTCTCCTTCCCGGTGTAAATCTCGCTGCAGGAGACCAGCCTTTGCTTGTAGCCCTTCCCGCAGGTCACCGAGCACTGAGGAGAGAGGGGTTGAGGGAGAGGCTGGGGCAGGGCCCGGGGCAGCCACCGCAGACCCCTGCCCTTCGTGCAGCAGCGTCCTGCGCTCTGCAGCCATCCCCAACACAAGGAGACCCGCACCTCCTGCATCTGTGCTCCCACTGCCCCACCGGGTGGCTGGGTGCCTCAAGCACCTTCTGTGGATTTCAAGGGGGAGGGGGCCGGGGTGTGGGGGAGCTCCAGCTGTCATTGGTTCATTTACAGCCTCCACAGCCCACACCCCGGCTTTCCCAAACCTACAGTGACCACATCAGAGACCTGACCGAGCGGGATGGAGAGCCCGAGCCCATCTGGGCTGAGTGTCAAGTCTGAGCGCTTAGCCAATGGGGGACCCTGGGTCAGGCTTCATTTCCTGCTCAATGTGGTTTGCTTCTCCATCTGCCCTCCACCTAATTCCCTTCTCTCTTCTCTCTCCCTGGCTAGATATTATTGACTAAAATGTTGCCTTTCTGCTTCTCTGTCTGTCTGTCTGTCTCTCAATCATGCAGTCATTAGCATGCATTAAAAATACCCAGAGGCACAGAAAAGGAGAAGAAACAAGTATCTTACTAGTGTCCCACTCCGTGATGGGACAGCTAATTGGTTATTTATTTTATATGCGGTTCAACCTCCCTGGCAAAGTATTTCATGTATTATTTAAAAATAAATCTGAATGACAGTGAATTTTGTTTTGATGACATTTTTAGTCAAAGTCATCAAATAACTGGCCGTCCCTTGTGACACCTTAGTTCAGGTGGAGTATGAGGACTGAGGCCACAGGCTCTCCGAGGGGGGCCAGGGGAAGCC